ACTACATAGTGCATGTGTTTGAACTGAGTGATGGTAAAAAAAATCCATGCTGCGATGTCTCTTTGACTAATACCATGCCTATGCTCTCGGGGACTATACTTAAACAATTTATCATACTAATAATACTCTAAGTACTCCACAATTTGCTGTCCTAGGCCTGTCGCAGTGTGTAAAAAAAGACATGAAACGTAGGCATATTTATTGTTTGTATAATACACTGCAAAACAAAAATAGCAAGGAGAGAGAGTGAAAAAAACTGTGTCGCTGCGCGCCAGTGATCTCTGTCAACTTGTATAGCTTAGAGAAGAACTCAACAAGAAAACAGAGCCATAAGCCGTGCGAAGGAATCACTGAAACTCTTATGAATATATTTTCTATAAAAATATCACGCTGGAATTTTTGACGTAAGTAAACGTATATTTAGAGAGAGCTCAGCTCATCCGAGCTCGGCACGAACATTGACGTTTTACAAACGTTGTTTGACTTGGGGAAAAGGGCATGTATTTGTTGACATAGGAAACGCAAAGTGAAAACGGTTCACTGGCGTTCAAGGCATATATATAGGCCTACACGCAAGCGTAGAGAATGACATATGAAGAGGGGCTTCTAAAGTGAATGATGGCACATATTTTAGAGTAGTATTACTGGAATCAGTTACTTGAATTCGTTGTTATAACATTGCGCCGTCTAAGAACTGTATAGGAACACTGTGAGTTGTTACATTCAATATGGAGGCGCTCAAAATTTAAGAGAAAATTGACTGATAACTAAAAGCTAATGTTGCTGAATTTAACGAGTCAGTGGATTGGAAAACAGAGCGTCGTCAAGTCGTCTAGAAAACTTCAGAGAGACAGAGAGAAGCGATCAGCCCTTCATTCACTTAATGCTCATGACTGAGTTTTTTTACAGGTATTATTTAAGTCAAACCTTGGGAAGATAGTATTGCAAGAGGCATTGAATAACCTGTGTTGTGATAGTGTAGTCGAGGATTACATCACTGAAACGGCGTAAAAGATTAATTTAAACATCAAGGTTAAAAACTTCCAATGAACGCCGGAGGTCTTTAAACAGATCCCCGCACGTGGACGTTGCAGTGTCACCGACATTGGGGAGGCATCATAACAGCTAAGGACACCGTTGCGCAGTGGCTTCTAGTTAGGCCAAAGACTTCAAGAGAAAACTGAATGCGTAACATTTTGTCGTTTTGAATCTATGTCAACAATAACTCTAGCACTATTTAACGCTTCTAGAATCGCTGCTTGAAGTTTTTCACGCAGATCGTTAATATCGTTGTGCCATCGTGCAGATAACAATGCGTCCTCAAACTTCACAAAACTTCTGACAGCTTACGAATTATGCCTCATTACAGAGAACTGTTTTTTTCTTCTCACTTTGACATAGGTTACATGGAAGCTTAGTCAGTATTACCTTAAACGCCGCATGTTTTAAAACGAGTTTGACAGTAGATCACCTCGGCACACCCTTCTGACGATCCCGGCGAATGAAGGATATATGACTAAAGAACGTATTCTCAATCGAACAGAATTTGGAGACAAATCTAACACCGGCGCACCCCAAGATAAAGTCGACACCTGCACGTTCCATCACACCTCAACATCGAAAACACCTGGCGAGTGAAAACAGTGCTAAAACAGCCGCAGCCTTAGTTATCCAACAACGCACGTCGCACAAGAAAAAAGGAAAAAAAAAAAAAAAAAAAAAAAACGACTGACACTCGACATGACGGTTCGTCGTCATGTCGGACGCCAGCGTCAACACCAGCACGGACACTCTTTATCACCTCAGACGGGGAGGATTTTATGACCGGCTGCCGATGATGAGGGCGAAAGTTGCCGAGGCATACGAACTTCAGATGAAGGGAAGCCGCGTGCATCCACGCGGATCTCCTGGAAAAGTGAGGCGGGGGCCGTGCATAAGATGGAGGCCTCTGCACGTGTTCATTGCGGTATTGGTGGGGGTCTTAATGGTCGGAATTCTGGTCGCTATCATTGTGCCCCTCGTGCTGTTTGCAAACGGTGAGTACGCCCTTATTGTTAACAACGTCATAGGTGGCCCCAGGGGTGGGCTGGGGTGGGGTAGAGATGGGGGTGGGAGTACTTGAGCCTCCCTGAGGCACTTCACAAAGGTTGGAAAATGACGCATGTTTAGGTCCCATATGGTCATTCCTGAAAAATGCCCTAAACTGACCATTAAAAAAATAATGATAATTTATTCAGCTTTTAAGTGTAACAGCAGGGGCGGATCCAGAGATATTTTCTGACAGTCTTCCAAATGATCTTTGTTGATTCATCCTCCATTTTTGACCGTCTTCCGACAGAATAAATTGGATACCCGTCAATGTAAACTTGAAAATCTGACCGTCTTCTAGAAGACCCAGAAGACGGCCTAAATCAGCCCCTGTAACATTTAATCATTGTTCGCTGTCTAAGGTTCTTCTAACACTACTCTATTATGCGTACATCAAAAATATAAATAAAGAATAAAATAAAGGATAAAATATCCATCAAAGTATCAGTAACTGTTATCTCACTTGACAATATTAAGCAAGATCATTCTATATGTAATGATTAGCTAAAAGTTAATTAATGCGATGGGTGCTAATTTATTGTGCTGCTAACGGAATATATTGCGAAATTGCCGTAAGGGATTAATGATCTTGAGGGTTGAGGAGGATAAATAAATGCACCGGACACTTTTTTCTTGATGATCTTAATGTTCCAGAAAACCATTACATTCCAAGAATTTCAATCCACAGGCTGTGGTAGAAATAGTATATATAGTTATAATTAGTTAACAATGATTTAAGAGATTATAACAAAAAGAAAACGTTTTAGGAAAAAAACAACAAAAAAACAGTGAGTAATTTTGAATGTAGAAATGGATTCATTAACCAGTGGTAATTATGGGGAAATTGCTGCTTACCCCAGAAAATTTCATTTTTGGCCAAAATGAACAGTTGTTATCCCTTCAAATACAATTTCTTTAAATTAAAAAAAAAAACTTTCGACTCAGAGTAATGCCCTATTTTTTATCCGTGCAAATTGTATTGTTTCCCCCATTTGAGAAACTGAAAATCTTGAAAATAAGTGCTCAGAAATAAAGGAAGTAAATAAGGGTAATAACAGCCTCAGGTTTTGTTGACGTTATCACTGGAGCGAAAGTGACCTATTTTGTTTTCAAAATTTATATTATACAGTTGCAGAAACAAGAATAAAAAGTTACCCTACGAGTCCACGATAGCTTCCAGACTAGTTATTCGCTTATAAATACTCAACTGGGGTTCAGAATTTGAATACTTTATTATCAAATGAGAGAAACTGGACTCAGGTTTACAAGTTCATCACAATTTCGTGGCCTAAGATATGTTTTTTTTCAAAGTGAGCAGTTTGGGCTGACTATATTATTTCAGTGAAAGGAGATTACAAATAAAAAGTAACTGCGACAGCAAGGTTTCATTACAAGAATTATCGTTGATATATATGAAAGCAAATTAAAGTTTAAAATGCTAAATACATAGCAAACGAAAAAACTAATTATGAAAAAAAAAAAAAAAAAGCTTAAGAAAAAAATCTTAGTTTAGCATTCGGATTGTTTATGCAAGTGCCCCTGAATAAAAATTTCACCTTTGCAGCATACAATCATAAAAATATTTAATTAAAATGTTTTTCATGGTCTTGAGATTCGTTTACAACGATGGCCGCCGATCTAATATTTCCCCTTCTAATTTCAAATTCTACGAGCCTGCTGTTGAGCCATGCAAACTTAAAATAATTACGTAATACGTGTTCGGGTGAACTTCGCGACCATGCCGTAACCTAGTGTTGTGTTATAGTTTCTTTCAAATTTGTGACTCGGGTATAAAAGGTGCCAATGCTGCACCTTCAACAAAACAAGATTGACGTCTATATCAATTACCGTAGCTCAGCGGTAAGAAGACACCGACAAATTCTTTACAAATTTGCCAGAAAAAAAGGTCAAAAGTCGCGCTTTGCTTATTCAGCGACTCGGTCAATTTTTTCCAGCCGATTAACTCTGCCAGATATACGACGGGAAAATACCAACAATCTCATTTGGCCAGCTTTTACGTTGTTTATTTATGTGACACTCCTTGACGTTGGGGTAGCGTTAACTACGATTTCAAGTTCACCCAAGTTTCGAGTCAAGTTATTAATTTTACAATATTCCGGTTGATAGCATAGAGCAGTGCGTTGTTTCGCATTATCTTCTTTTCACCTTGTAGTGTCCCTATGAAAAACGAATAAAAACTGAGACATTTATGGCAATTCGTTCGTTCGTTTTTCTAAAGTACAAAGAAATGTTCAGAAGTGTTGTTATTCGTGGGATATTCAACTAAAATATCAGAAATGGGACTGTCTCACGCAGCTTGTTCATCGCGTTAAAACGCACCAGTGAAGATCTCGACTGTTTGAACGTCAAAAAGCACCGAATTAAAATTGAGATCTGCCTGTTGTTCAAAAACGTTTACCCCTTTTGTATTGAAAACTTTTATAATTTATATACTTATGTTGAATAATTTTAGAATCGTAACTTATCTTTTTAAGTCTCTTTAATTTATTAGGCAAAATTATAGTTACGATACTTGCTTACTTTTATTATATGCTTTTTATTTCAACTTTTTTTGCCATTTTGATCTCTCTCAAGATTAATAAAATTTGAAATAATAATTACTCTGTTAAGTTAATAAAATGCTAAAATATAAATTAAATATAGAGAATGAGTTAGACATGTGCACCTTAATTTACTTACTAATACAATGTTGTACCCACCCAGTTCCCTTGCAGTCAAATGGCAGTGCGGTAGATAGGTCCACCATTGCGTCCGGGGTGCCAAGTATACCGGTCGGCGTGTCCACTACAACTTCGGCTGCGGTCACTGGGTCCGTAACGGATGTAACAGCAACAACAACAATAACAACAACAGCAACAGCAGTGGACACTTTGTCAACAACAGCCGCAATTATGTCAGAAACAACAATGACAACATCGTCAACAGTGGTGGACACATTATTGACTACAACAGCAATAATTGCATTAGAGACGACAACAACAGCTGGATCTGTCGACACTACCGAAGCACCAACGACGATGGAGACTACATTTTCTACTGTGCCTACAACACAGTCAATGGATGCCACCACGACTGGAAACACAGAGCAATTAACTACTGTGGCTACCTCTACTGTCTCCCCGGTTTATGGGTGTTTGAACACTACTTTGTGTCCGGCTAATTTTTCGGGTATGTAGGGTTCCCCTTCACTACCCCTCCCCCCCCCCCCTTACACTTATACATACACACAAAAGTACGCACACACACATACACACAAACATACACACTATACACAGCATGTTAGTTTTCTTTTTATTCAAAAATTGTTTGCATATTTGGATATCGTAATTCATGAATTTTTTAAAACTTTTGTCGAAAAGTTTGGAAATTTCATATAAAAAATATCATATATTTCCAAACTTTTCGGCGAAACTTTTATTTTGCTACAAAGTCGCAAAGAAACTGTTTTGAAATTTCATTCATGTCATTTTTATCCAGGTACCATGGAAATAGCATGCGACAACTTCACAAAGAGCGCGCAGTGCGAAGACGGCTGGTTAATCTTTCTAAAACGGACCAGCGAAGATCTCAATTTTAACAGAACTTGGGCGGATTATAAGACCGGATTCGGAAACTCTACAGCGGGAGACTATTGGCTTGGACTGGAGGTTCTCAGCCAAATCACCAATTCTCAAAACAGCAACGCAACTTTAAAAGTTGACATGGTCGCTCTTCCCAGTAGCGCCATCTATATCCAATACAGCCTCTTTCGCGTCGCGGAAGAAGAGGCAAATTACGGTCTGTACCTAGGTGGCTATTCAGGTAACGTCACGCAAGACAGTTTTGCTAATATCACCCAGGGGTTGGCATTTTCGACTTTCGATCGAGACAATGCCGCTAACACTGGATCCAGCTGTGCCTTGAGTAACGGAGGTGGCTGGTGGTATGAAAACTGCGCCAAAGCCCAATTCACCGCCCACTATTCACGAGACAGTATATGTCGGTCGGACGTGCACCGCTGTATAAGATACGAAGGCACTGCAGCAGCGGGTGTGAACTGCGGGTTAACGTGTATGCTGAGTTCGGCCTTAATGAAATTAAGACTGTGATGGAACTTTACAGATTGTTTTTTATCTATAAGTCAGTCATAATTCTCCAACTGAGGTCGAATCATCCTTTTTTGCATTTATTTAGATTCTGTTGTTCTTAAATTACGTTTAACGATAATACCTTATCATAAAGAAAATCCATTTCATCTCTTTACGTTATGTTTTTAGGCCTACACTCTTTTTAATTAAGGACTGGGGATTTTTTTCAACACCGGTAAACGCTTTTTATTTAAATCTTGGTTCTTCACTAATTTTTCTTATTCTTTAAGAATTTTGCTACATAACGAATGATTTGAAACAGAATGAGCAGAAAGTAATTATTAAAGAAAAAAAACACATAATTCATAAGTATAGGCATTTAATATGTAACTTAAAACATGCCACGTTTAAATCTTCGGATCTCGTTTATGTTAAGATACCGCGCTGTAGTGCAAGGTATATGCGTACTACTGTACCTATATTACTTTATATCGACCAAAGATAAAAGAATTTATTCTCTCCCAATAATCTGAAATTAACATAATTGCATAAAAAAATGCAAACACAACTTGATGAATAAAATTCATGGAATTGATAATAGCCGTCACCTAAAGGCAAAGAGAACGCCAGGAACTGTTTGCGAGTTCTTCATTTGCGTTTTTAAATTCATGATTGACATTCACATTCCTTCTTCTTCGTTAGGAAACATGACGAAAGGATATTTTTAGTTCAGTGTTAAACTGCAATTAATTATGGCATTAAGGGGTCTGCCAGCACATGTAGTATATCACCAATGAGAATTATACAGATGCACACACACAAGTCGTGGGCGCTCTAACCGCCTTATGAGGTCATAAAATGCGATCACGGTACCCTGTAGACTTGAAGGCATTCGATTTAGCATTTGTTTAAATTTTCGCCAGAAAATCTCATACGGGTACCTTAATACTACGTCAGTGGCAGAAACTGGGGGTATGTGGGGGTGAGTGGGCGTGGTACCTCTTTTCCAAAACAATTCAGAAAATGGCAATCTATAAAGCAGATTTTGAGGTTTGAATGTCTATTTTCACCATTGTGAGTGAACCTCAGAACTCTCTATTTTCATTACCAGACTGGGAACGTAAATTTTTAAATTGCTAATATAAATCGTAGTATTGTCAGTGGTTTCGGATAAGATGTACCTAGGTGATTAAACGAAACACGTTGAATTAAATATCTTGCTAAGAAGAATAAATTTAATGTCTTATAGACATTGTGTACCTTTAATACACATGTTGTATTAATGTTGTCTGGTAGTTAATCATTGAGACGTGCACAGATGCACATTTCGTGCGTTAATCACCTTATGAGGTCGCGAAAGTCATCACTGGGAGTGAGCAACGTGACTTTAACTGAAACTTATCAGCAAAGCGCCATTAGACCTGTGAACTTAAAAGAAGGTTAGGTCAGAATTTTGCACTGCTGTCCATCAGAATTAAGGTAGAGAAGTAAACACTCAAAGAAAGGCCAACTTGGACCAATCAACTTCGTGAAATATCTTAGATTTTCACAAGGCCTTGGAAATGTGGCATTTAGTAGTAGATACCAGACCCTACGTGTAAAGATACAGTGTGTTATGTACGTGTTTAACCATAGTAGAGCTAACGTGAAAATAAACCAAATTGCCTCTTGTGTGACCAGAACCATCAAGCAATGCCGAATGACGTCATAGACGCTTTAAGTACATTTTCGCGTCACCATTCCAACACAAGCGGAAAGACCATGGGAACGCTAACATCGGTCCAGATCGCAGTTCTCCTATGTTTCGAGTTCTGCCTGACAAATGCAGCTATGCCAACTGGAAACGTCCTTTCCAAACAATTGGAATTGTACGTGCTGAATCACAAACTGTCGTCTTTGAAACAACACCTCTTAGCAGAATGTTCGGGCCTGGTTCAAAAGTTCACCGGACTTAACTACCCTCCTGAGTTCGGCCGGCGGCGGAATACGGAGACTGCTTTGGATATGGAACTGAAGTTTACTGCTGCCGTCTACCGCGATCTGTCCGCGCAGTATGTACAGTGTAAAGTTGCAGCCTCAGCCCAACAAAAATCAACAACTATATCGGTTCCCATGTCGACCAGGAAGACGACAACAGAGAGGTCAAGCACAGTACCTCCGTCTACAGCAACGACAACTGTTAAGCCGACTCCAATGACATTTTCAGGTAAGATGGAAAACCACAAGGCAAGAAAATGACCATGAAGTGATTAGCTACATACGTACCACATTTAAAAGAAATTCGTCTTAGACTACTTGAGATTTTTTGTACATAACTCCTGATATACATTGTATAACATGCACTTCCTCTATGTCAATTAGATCTTTCACTGTAACTTGTGTAGTAAGGATAATATGTCAAGCGTCTTTTATAAAATTCAGTGTTAAAGCTTTGAGGCTTGTTGTTAGTACTCCTTCATTTTAATAATTTTTGCATATGTGATTATAGTTTTATATGCATTGATTCAGGCCTTCTTAATCCCCTTGGTTTCTGGGCCATGGATTCGAAGAATGGACTGAAGGACCTTAGTGGCAACGGTAATGACGGCGTGACATATAACACCAGCTTCGCACCAGGTCCAGACGGGAAGGAGGGGGGCGCCATATTGTTTAGTGGCAATGACAGTTCTTTCGGACATATTCCAATGAGAAACACTTCCTTGTTCAATAGAAACGGTTCTGTAACCTTGATGTTTTGGCTGATGCCGACACGGTTGAGCAATTGGGAAGTGCCCTTGGCATTTGTAAACGGTTCTAAAAGAAACGAACGTAGTATTGTTTATGCGATTCACCAAAATTATATGGAAATAGATAATAAGCATATATACCATCACGAACAGTTTAATACAACCCTGAACGAGTGGATGAGAATCGTGATACAGTATCAGCAGGCGTCAGAGCTGTTAACAGTGCGGGCTGGAGGACTGAACTCCTTTCTTACCACGGCCATTTCTATTGTGAAGCGCGGAGGAGGTTCTTTTGATACAAACTACGACCTTTACCTTGCTCGAACCAAGATAATAGCCAGTTCACTTGGCAATTTCCACGGTCGTATGTCATGCCTCCAAATATACGGAGACATTCTCACAGATGACCAGCTTAAAACTGCTTTTCGGCTGTGTTAGAAGTTGCTCGGCAATTTTGGGGCTTGGGGAATAAATTCCTACCGAAAGTTTCGTTTGTTCGGGGGATCGCATTGTGTAGCCTTTACTTTTGGAATACAGATGTAAACTAAAGCAATAATATTGTGAAGGGATAGGTAATAAAACAGTGATTAAGATTTCACTATTTTACTTCCTAAAAGAAATTTAAGATATTAATAAAAACGACCTTTTACAGTCCACATAGTTGTTTTGAGATTATATATAGTGCCCTTAGACCATTTAGGTGGGTGAGTTGGTCAGTACATATTCATACATAAAGCAGACGTTTTAAATAAACATTTATCTAACATGAGCCGTGGAAGGTACATCCCCCATGCTTGCCAAGTTTTTCTTTGTTATCAGTTTAAATGTTGTTTATCATGTCATCACTTCAATTTTAATTCACAACTTTTTTTTAGCTAGTTCCAACAGCACAAAAGTGCGTATTTAATAAAACACCTCTATATATCAAGATTGACATAACAATTAAGACTCAAAACTTTGTTTTGATCATTGAAATATTTCTAACAATAACATGTAGGCCTACACTTTCCCGAGCCATTGGCCCATTTCACATGGAAAATCACGCTGACCCTGCATAGATGCAATTAAACATATTGTCCAAGTTCATTTAAAGATCTAGGCCCTATCTTAATTGAATTGACCCATTTACCGGTATACTGCGAAGCAAAGAGCCTGGTCAAACAGCGCGTAGTTCAGAATGTTCGCAAATCCTAGCTTTTTGCTTTTTACTAAATTTAGGCCTACCGTTATTAGGCTATATTTATAATATTCAGATTAAAAAAACAATCGCATTACTAAATAAAATAATAATAGGAGACTCTCTGAGCAAACTATTTTACAAACTGTTACAAACTTATTATGGTAAGGGCTCAATCAATACGGAAATCCATCTAACTAGTAAGCATATATCTTTTACCTACTGTAATTTTTGGAATGATAAAATGTAGGCCTACATTTTGTATGGAATTTTTGGTGTTTTTACTGTATAGAAGATATTATCAAGTTTGTTGCTACCTCTAAATAGCCATGTTGTTGTGTTAAAATAAATAAATAAATAAATAAATAAATAAATAAATAAATATATTAATAAATAAAAACTAGCGTTAGGCCTATCTGTAAAATTAACAATTTCCTCCTGAATCATCACCATACTATATATAGGCCTATAGTAGCGGTCTATTCCAGGGGTAATGTTTAACAGGCTTATCACATGTGCCTGCCAAGACGTACAAGATGATTGCATATCCTGGGCAACTATTTACACTGATTTTTTGGAACCTTAAATGGTCATGTAAGTTTTAGAAAATGTGGATTCCATACATGCAATGTCTCGTCATGATCAGGCTGTGCATTCAGAAACGTATATTCTAAGAGCGTTTGTTTTGGAGGTAGCCGAAAGATGGCGCAAGTTGATAACGTTACATTTTGCACCGTGTGATTTAAAAATAGTTTTTTTTTGTGTGTCACGTTGTGTGTTTCATTTTGTTTCTTATCTTATATAAAATGTTTTGTAACGTTTAAGTTTTCCATTAAAAGTCAACTCTTGATCTGTTAATCAGCTTAAAGTTTTATATTTTGTCATATCTTGAAATTGGTGACATCTATCGGTTGAGAAAGTTTACATAACTGAAAGCGTAAAAAGTAGGAGGCAAGAAGGTGGAATCTGCTTCAAAATACTTTTTAACAAGGCCTTGTACACTGTTTAAAGATGGTATGACTTATAATTAATGGTAAGTAGGATTTTGGGTGAAAGTTAGATTAAAAAATGAAGCGATTAAGCTTTCCATTTCGCCACCACAACTGGTTTTAAGTGGTAGAATTGCACTCAACTCGGGTGTTATTCTAAATAGCAAACTCTCATGATGTAGCCATTAGTCTATGGGCCAATGTAGACCCCCCTCCCCCCCTTAGTGATTTTCGTTCACTATGTTTTTCTGATAGCTTAGGTCCTAAGCTTTGATTTTCCGCTTGTTTGCCATTAAACTGGTGGTGGGTGTGTGTGCTACAGCCGTTGCCATGGTAACGTCTGAGATTAAAAATTGAAATTTCTGAGACCAAAAAAATATTAAATTATTCAAATGTGTTAAGTGAATGGAATTCAAAATCCTTTCAGATGTATAGTTTAAGAGCTGCACTATACTTTATGATCCTCAGAATATTCCAAGATGGCTGTAAATTCAAGATGGCGGCCAATTTTTGCTAATTTTTGAGTAATTTCAATTATTTTTCATATTTGAGTCTTGATTCAATTATTAAGGAATAAGAATGTGGGATATGCTTTGATGCGCCAGAATAGCATACAATCTCTACTTGCTACCTACAGTATTTATTTTAGATGAAACCTTTTAATTTTTTTGTAAAATCCTGAAATCCGAAATGGCGGCCAAAATACAAGTCGTTTAGATTCTGCTGTCCCAACTGGAAAGATGCCAGATTTATCATCAAAGTGTCATTCTTTTTACTTTGAATAGACTGAATTCAAACTTAGGACTTTTTAAAACAATTTGCATTAAATCTGATTACATAAAGACTTTCAAAATTCAAAATGGCTGCCAATATGCTTATACACACTGGCTTAAATTGATATAATATATTCTTCCAACAGAATATTAAATTTAATTATCTCCAACCAACTTAGTCCCATTTGTGATTTTTGTTAACTATGATTTTCTGGTAGGTTAGGCCCTTAGCTTTTATTTTCTGCTTGTTTGCCATTAAACTGGTGGTGGGTGTGAGTAATAGAGATGTTGTCATGGTAATGTCGGGGGTTGAAAATTGATATTTTTGAGACCAAAAATAAAAATTGAATATTTCAAATGCATTTAAAATTATGGAATTCAAAATTATACCAGATGTGTAATTTAAGAAATGTGCTATACTTTACGATCATCAAAATGTTCCAAGATGGCAGCAAATTCAAGATGGCTGCCAATTTTTGCTCATTTTTGAATAATTATAGGTATTTTTATTTTTGAGTTTTTATTTTATTATTAAGAAATTGCAATGCGGCATGTGTTTTGATGTTCGATAATGGCAAAAAGCCTCTGCTTTTTGCCTAAATTGCTTGTTGAAGATGAAACCTTTTAATTTTGACATAAAATCCTGAAATCCAAGGTGGCTGCCACAAAACATGTCTTTTACATACGGCTGTCCTAACTGGAAAGATGCCACATTAATCATCCCAAATTATAGTCTTTATTACTTTAAGGTGCACTGAATATGGACCTAGGACCCTTTTCTATAAATTGTGTTAATTCAGATTGCATTATGACTATCAAAATTCAAAATGGCCGCCAATTTGCTTAAACATGAAATGATATAATACATTATTCCAATACAAAATAAAATTTAACAAACTCAAGCTAGCTCAGCCCTATTAGCAATTTTTATTTACTATGATTTTCTGATAGCTTAGGCCCTAAGTTAAAATATTCTGCTTGTTTGTCATGTAATAGGTGATAGGTGTGACAGATTCAGCTGTTGCCATAGTAACACAGGGGTTTTAGAATTACAATTTCTGAGACCTTTAAATCGCCATGTATTTCAAATATATGAACTCGATGTATTGTAAACTTAAAAAAAAATTATATTTGGACCTCAGTTATTAATAAAATCATATGAAAAAATAATCATAGTTAAATTGCCAAAATGGCAGCCAATCCAAGATGGTGACAGATTTATGTTAATTTTCTTCTTATTTCTGAAAGTAGATTTTTGTAAACTTTGAAAGCAGCATTGGAATTGAAAAATGTTAGGTTTTTGGATATGCTGATATGAAAAGAATTGCATAATTACTGTTTACAATGATTGTTACTCCTATATCCTCCTTTTTAAGTGTAATAAAACCTGAAATCCATGGTGGCCATTACAAAACATCGTTTATACATATTGCTGTGCTGACAGAATATATGTTATATTTTCGTTTCAAATGCCTCTTTTGCTCTTTCTGATAAACTGAATTAACCTATTAGGCTATTATCTAAATATAAATCATTTCTGTTCCTTATGATTTCACTGGCAATTAATTTGCAAAAGATTTTCGGCCAAATTATATTTACTTGGCCATTCCAAAATTCATCATGGCCACAAATGGCCATGACAGTGCAGATATGAATTTTGCTGCAATAATATTAAACAGTGCAAGAAACAAATAATTCTAAAATTTGTGCAGTTAATTACAATCAAATATGTCCTTTCAACACTGCTTTCACGGAAACACTTGTCCATATTTAGTTAAATATTTGGGATTAAGGTTTTTTGGAAATGGATGAAATATCTTGGCTGCAGTCTTTTTTAATGAAGAATGTTCACTGGAAAGGCAATTAAGATTTGCTGTTACCTTTGAAACCCATTTTTTGTTACGATCTAAGATGGTGTTCATGTATATGAAAAAAATGGAATAAAACATTTACATGTATGTACCAGCTTCAAACTGCTAGAAAGGTAAAATTATATCCACGTTTTGGAAAAATCAATATATCCACTAACTTCAATTGAATATATAATTTAATTTTTTATAATACTTTACTTAAAATATAATTGTATAGAAATGCAAAATCACCATGTATATTTGCAAACTAGTTGCCTTCTACTCAAAATCAGACTATTTTGTGTTATTCAACTTGCCCAATAGATGGTAAGAGGTGATCAAATAATTTCAGCCATCTACCACATGATAATTTAAATACTTGTAGACCATATTAAGTTATTACAAATGTTCACGATCTTGGCTTCATATTATTTAAATTCAATACATCAAAAGGTAATAACAAAAGAATAAATACAGATAGAAAGAAGGCAAATTTGGAGAAAAATGTACAATATTTAAAGTTAGGACAGCAATATGTACCAAAGTAAATCACCCAGGATTTGTTGGGGCCATTTTGATTTCAAGTTTTTTTTTGTTCTTAAAATGATAATTATAGGAATAACAAACACTATAAGCAGTAAATAAAGACTAAATACCATATGGACATCAAAACACTTAACATTTCTCGATCCCATTAAATTTATTAAATTTTCAACATTAGTTACTAAAAGTAGAAACGGGTTTAGAAATCAGCTTAAATTGGCCGCAATTTTGATATTGCTGCCATCTTGAAAAAAATCACACCATCTTGGATATTCAAAGAAATTTTTGCCATTATATCACAAATACAGATGTCTCCATATTTTAAATAAGTTTACATTATTGTTGAAGTTTTTTAATATATGTGGAATGTATGAAATTTTCTTAGTCTCAGAAATGTCAATTTCGAACGCCTTTGTTAGTATGGCAATGGCTGGGTTAATAGAACAGAAAACAAGCAGAAAATGGGATCTTAGGATGTAAGCTATATATAATAGTAAATAAAAGTCGCTAAAGGGGGATGGGGGGTTCAGGTTAATAAAATCAATCTAAATAACATTCTTTTGGAATATAACTTTCTATCAATTTTTTTAGCAAGAGTGTATCATTTTGACCATAAATATATAGTCCCCTATACTCACTGACAGCCATTTCTTTCAAATGCGACAGAATACATTAGTATTTAAACTATTCTTTTCCATGTCAAATGTGAGTGATTAGCATGTACATGAAACTTTGTGTGATTTCTTAGGTCAAATGTGAGTGACTTGCATTTATTGGGGGGTATTATAGGTCTTTTATCTAGTCTAGGTTATTGTTGACCATTTGATCTTTCTTTTTTTTAATCATTTTACATGACCACATATCTAGTAGTGATGAGCACTATTAAAACATGAGTACTCATCCAAACTTAAGATGAAATTAGGAATATTGCTGTCATATTTTAGTCTACTGGTTAAAAAGATGTAATTTCACGATCATTGGCGGCCATTTTGAATTTTGAAAGCCATACTGTAATCCAAATTAAGTCAAGTAATTGAAAAGGGTTCTGTTTTCATATTCAGTACACCAAAAGTAATGAAGAACATAATTTGGGATGATAAATCTGTCATATTTCCAGACAGGACAGCTACATGTAAAAGACTTGTTTTGTGGCAGTCATGTTGGATTTCAGGATTTTTCATCTCAATAAAAAGATTGCACCTTAAACAAACATTACAGGCAGAAAGTAGAGATTCCATGCTACACTGGTGCATCAAAATATCTCAGATATTGCTATCCTTTGATAATTAAATAAGAATTAAAAAATTAAAAATTTTCAAAATTTCTTAAAAAACAGCAAAAATTGGCCGCCATCTTGGATTTGCCGCCATCTTGGAAAATTTCGTTAATTGTTAAGTATAGGGCACTTCTTAGACTACTCGTCTGGAATGATTTTGAATTCAATTTAGTTAATGTATTTGAAATATTTTAGATTTTGTTAGTCACAGAAATTTCAATTTTTAACCCATGTGTTACCATGGCAACGGCTGTAGCACACACACCCACCACCAGTTTAATGGCAAACAAGCAGAAAATAAAAGCTAAGGACCTAAGCTATCAGAAAAACATAGTGAACGAAAATCACTAAGGGGGGGGAGGGTTTCGGTATTTGGCCCACGGACTACATTGTTATGAGTCAGCAAAATGACAAAACCAAAAACTTCCAAGAGATTCAAGACAGGAATAACTGAAATATGACTTTTTCACAGCACAAACTTACAAACCTATGACTAAACCCATTGGTTAGTCCTTGATTTAAAATATCTACAGACTACAGGATATTTTTAAAATTTAATTTCTCTGAAGATTTCAATTGTGATACTGAAAATTAGAATTTAGGGCCCGATAACTGGTTCATAGGTAGTAGCTCTACTCAATATTTTTTGATAGGGGAGGCCGTGGTGATGCAGGAAAAATTACTGAAATTTTCAGAAAATTGCATTAAAAAAATCTACGTTTATTATTTAATTGTTCCAAACTCACACTGGTAACATATAACACAAACTTTCACCTGTATTTCCAGCTTGCAGCTACGTGGCAGACAAAATCCGCCACAGCTGTAAGTCAAAGCAGGAGAGAGAGGAGGCGGAGGAGGTGAAAGGCATTGGACAGAGACAGTGTGTCATCAGTAAATATGCTGAAGACAAAAGTTCTGGAGGTGAGAGGCCAGTTTTACAATTGTCATTTAGACTGAAAATGAGATTTAAGTTTTATATAAAAGTATCGTTCAACTTTGACCCTAGATAAATCTGTGTTATACCAGTTTTGAAATTGAAGTTTGGCACCTGTTTTACACAAGAAAGACATGGCCACAGTGTCAGAGCAATAGTGAATAAAAGTGAATGGTTTGATTCATCGAGTTGTTTTGTATCATATTTTTTGACCTGGAAGTAACTATGTCTCAACCTTATCAAAAAGTGGGAGGGGGGGTGACACAAAAATGAAAACAGAGAGAGAGAGGAGAGGAGCAAAGAGAAAGAGAGTAGAAAGATAGTAACATTGGGGTTGAGGTAGGGGTCAAGTAGATAAGATGGGCATCAAAATTACTTAGAAAACCTAATAAAAAAAGATCTTGTGCGAAACATGGGTCCTGCAATTGAATTAGAATTCTCTTTTCTCATTTGCAATGATCCCAATTACTTTGTCAAAAGAAAATTTAAGAATCTGTTTCCCTGTAGAGTTGTTAGGCTGTTGTTGAATGCTGCCAGTACCATATTTACAAATAGTTTGTATTTCCAGAGCATTATGGACCAACAGCAAATGGGTATTATGACTCCCCGAAGCAGCCGATAGCACCTGAGCCATATACCTACAACCAAACTCAGTGCAACACCAGGAGTGGATGACGATAAAGATGACAGGGAGACAGCTTGGGTGATGGATGGAGGGAAGGAGAAAACAGACTGACTGGAAAAAAGCACAATTTTATTGATTTATATTATTGTGATTAGATGTTTATTTATTTATTTAATGCTAATTTATGAAATAGAAGTAAAATTTGTTTATTGATTTATGTGATAAAATGTGAAAGACTATATGCGGCTGTTTGAGATATAAACACCAAATTTTCAAAGCCTATGTCATGGCTGAAGTGGTCTTTTCACCTTCATTTGTGATATTATTTACCATGTCTGATAACTTCCTCCCCATATGTATTAAAACCCTGGCTGTTGCTCTGTCATAAAAGAAATAGGTCTTTATAAGAACACAAGCCATTCCTCTTATTTTGGCTGCATACCAACACTCATGGACTCCTTAGACAGTTTATCTCGTGCCAGAAACTAAAAGCTGATGATGTTAAAGTTGTGTCTCATTTGTTATTTCACTCTTTTCTCCTACCAAGTTTGGAACCGTTGTATGACAGTGGAGCCTTAAAGCCAGGTTAGCCACCTACAGCAGGCTCAGCTCGATAATTTACGGTGTCCATTTTGGTTGTGAGAAGACTGATTTATAATTATGAGAAAAATATTTCATGAATAGAGGTCTTGTATACAGTTTTTACCTAGCAAGTTTTTTTATTTGAAAGAAGGTATTTTAATATTGGTCTTTGAATTATTGAGTTTCTCAGGTGTACTTGATATCCTAGTTTACCTTCCACATTGGAATTTTCTCAGGAGTTTGTGGTTCATGTGACTATGTATATAAGGTAGAAAATGTAACTTCATGATCAGGATATAATATTGTTAACTTTTTAAGTTATGCAAGTGCACTTCAGCATATCAGTGAAATTGCAACAGTGAATATATTTTGGATGTAGTCACTTGAATAATCTGGATCTTAGACTACGAAAAGAAGTCATTCAGAATTGTGTGGGAAGGTGCTCCGCAAAATTTGAATACATACACGTACTTAAATTATATGTTGTGTTACTTGTATTTCCCCTCTTTTTAGAGACTTTTATATATATATCTCCTTGTCATCGTATTTTGTGATATAAAGTTCTTGTAATAAATATATATTATCAATCACTGTTGTTTTTATTTTAACTTATTTTCGTCCAGTAACTCAGAACTCTTTGATACTTTTTTTACTCTGTGTTATGACTAAGGTGGAATGAATATCTGCATTTTTTTTCTTTTTAATGGTTTCCATCTTATCCCATCCTCAGCAAAGTTTGGTGGGTCCTGTGTAGGACAAGCTGTCATTTAAGATATTCATTCAATACTAAGTACCCTGCAAAATTTATAAAAGGAAAAACACACTCATATTATTAATGAAGTATTTTCGTGTTTATTTAATCTTACGAAAGGTTCCAAATTACATTTTTTGATGCAATGCACACTTTTCCTATAAATATACTTGATTACTCACAATGCACAGCTGAGGCCGGCTGATGCAATGGGGTCATTTTAGGGAGCATAAATTATATCATTATTTTTTTTCTTTGATAACTTCCATATTCAGCTTAAGTCATGCTGACATACATAGTGTACTTATATTTTTAAAAGACTGATTGGCTGATTATAAAATAATGAAATGCATTATATGGGTTTAACACATTTTACTGTTGAAATTCTTAAAACAATTAACTGTCCCTTGTGCTTAATTTTAGACATGCGCAGTTAGACTTCCTGTTCATGCCGGTGGAATCGCGACAGACGAGCTTTCCTCCACATATTTTCAAGAAAAATGGTATTAGATATTGAAAATTTTCGCGCCGACAAGGGCGGATATCCAGACAAGATCAGGGAAAATCAGGCCAAAAGATTTAAAGATGTGACTTTAGTTGATAAAGTTGTTGAGGCAGACACAGAATGGAGACAACGTAAGTGATGTACACATGTATGTTTACTGGTGTAGCCTCTCGACAACTTGTAATTACTTATTAGAGTTGTATCTACGAATACACGCATATGTAGACAGACACCAGACAAGCGACTCTCGAATATTTACTGGGGTTGGTGAAGTAGCTTTTACTAATTGGATTGCCTTCGGTTTTTTAATGAATCAGATCCATCATGGTCTTCCTTGCCAGCTCATGGTATTATCATATAGGAACTAGAAATTCCTTTACAATTTTGACGGTGAAATATTGTGGTAACAGCTAGGTATTTCCTTGTGAAATATGTCATACACGTTTTGAAAATGTCCACTAAGTTGAGGAATCAATAGATTAAAAGATATTGAAGAGGAGACAAATTTAAGGAAAGGATGTGTACTATGATTTATATTCCATTATTATCATTAATTTTCATCTTTGTTCAAATGATAAATCCAGTGTCAATGCAGGCAGCCTTACTTGATGCGTATTAAAAGATAAAGTTTCTAAAAAATAAGATCGCTTCACTCTTTCTGCAGCCCCAACAGATTTGATTTTTTGTAGATTTTGAATATTGAGTTAGATCATAATGGGTAAAGTTATTTTTAATATGATATTTATGCTCCAGACATGTATATATTGTAATTTTGTATAGTATTAAAAGTAGAAGTTGTCATGATATTATTTGCAGTAACTTTGTTGTCTTGAAGATTTTTTCATATATTTATTTATTTATTTATTTTAGTACGGTACCAAGCAGATAACTGGAATAAGTTAAAGAACCTATGCAGTAAAGTGATAGGAGAGAAGATGAAGGTATGTTATATCACTTGACATAGAAATTGTTTGTTTATCAAAATCTTGTCAGATGATCGGATGCAATATTAAACTGATATCATTTGAAGAGGAACCTGGCCCTGACCTCAAGGCAAACAGTTTACTTATTAAAAAATCAATGTCAATTTTTCCTCTCCTTTGTAATTGTCCAGTAGTTTGATCCTTATCACTGATGAGATTACATTTGTTAATTCAGTGTTATTTACAAAGTTATTATATATTATTTACAAGTAAATTACAACTCTGGACTTTGGCTGGTCACTGATGGGTCACACAAGTCATGATGTCATGGTGGTCATGTAAAGAAATATAATTTAAAAACAAACAAACAAAAAAATTGAAGTAATTAAATTTATTATTTCAACTGATTTAGATGGCTTATAACCTGCATAAACTTCTCATCACTTGTTTGTTTTCAGAAAAAAGAAGCTGTTGGAGATGATGAGACAGTGCCTCAGGCAATCCTAGACGGTCTGGAGAATATGACTGCAGAGCAGCTCAAGGTAGTCTTATACTAAAACCCAGTCTAAACCAGAAGTGTTTTAGACTTCTAATCCTTTGGGTTACCAGGGGCTGGTTAAAAAAGCAAACTAACAAACAAAAAACTTGGTCTAAACTTTCAAACCAGAGATTTGGTTTCCCTTTGTTTTAAAATGTGTTTGAAAATGTCCCTAAATCATGCTTTTCTGATCCTGCATAGTGCCTTACCTTCCCAGTTCAGATCTTAAAACTCAATTGGGTATGGAAATCCCAAATAGGATACTTACATTGTTAAATGCAAAAATGTAAGTTTTTGCCTTAAACAATGGCAATGGCTTGTTATATCTTCATCAGACTACTACATATAAATGTATATCTTGGATGAAGTTGATAAGTTCAAACTATGAATGTTATGTGAAACAAACCCCAGTGTTAATCCCACAGAACCCAGTTGATTTCATAATCACAGCTTGATGTTTCATATATCTATATTTTTATTTTTAGGAATTAACAGTGACCCAGATCAAGCGCATTCGAGCAGTTCTTGATGAGAAGATGGCTCAGTGTGACCAGAGGCGCGTCACTGTGGAACAGACGAGAGATGAGTCGCTGAAAGAAATAGGAAACATGTGCCATGAATCGTGCATTGTTAGCAATGATGAGGTAGGGGAAAGAAGTACACTTCATTATCCAATATCTCAGATGTTTGACAGACCATAGCCTCACAGTTATTATTTACTTCGTATATAGTGACATGCTCTCCCCACAGGATTTTGATTGGTCACTGATGACGATTTATAACATTTTAACATTTTAATGACCATTGTGAACATTTAAAAGACATTGTTTGGTCTTTACAACTTCAGCATGTATGACAATTTTGTTATGATTTAATATCAAATTGATGTAAATTTTTTTTTTTTCAGGAGGAGAATGGTATTGAAAGGACGTGGGGAGACGTGGAGACAAAGAAGAAATACTCCCATGTGGATCTGATTGTAATGATAGATGGTTATGAAGGAGAGAAGGGGGCAGTTGTTTCTGGAGGGAGGGGTTATTTTATTAAGGTAGGTTGTGTACCAGATTTGAAATGGATGGATTTGACGGAAGGGTATTGTGGTCTTTAAAATGAGATGGTATGCTTCCTTGAGAAAAAGTGTACAAAAACTTTACAAGGGTCAATCGATTTTGTTATTATTATTGTTGTTCTTGTTCATTTTATATATGTATAAACATTTTTTGGGGGTGGGAGGTGGGTTGGCAGAGAATAAGCGGTTGTGCTTCCAGAGCTTTTATGATACTCTCTTTAAGTCCACATGTAAACGAGACACAATATAAGGGCTTTGCTTTATTTGAACATTTTCTTATCTGTCATTTTATGTGTCATTTTGTCTGGGCCTAACACCATATTTGCTATCCATACTTAATACTAGAGTCCAAATGTTTTTCTAGAGCCCTGATACAGCACAGTTTTCTTATACATTTGCTATCCACACTAGGGTACAGTAGTCTTCTTAAAGCAGGCCCTGATACAGTACAGCTTTCTTATACTTTTGCTATCCATTCTAGGGCCCAGTAGTCTTCCTAGAGCAGGCCCTGATCCAGCTTGCCCTGAGAATGCTCCAGGAAAAAGGGTTCACGGCACTCTACACGCCATTCTTTATGAGGAAGGAGGTGATGCAGGAGGTGGCGCAGCTTAGCCAGTTTGATGAGGAGTTGTACAAGGTGAAGATTGATAGGTCACAGAGGGGGGATTTTCTTTGTCGGAAAATTAATTTATCTGTAAAATGGAATGATGTTTCTTGCTACAGATGACCCTGTATGACGAAATTGGTCTGAAATTGTAATTGTTGTACAAAAAATTTAATTGAGATGTACCAGTTTTGTTGTTCACTTGTTACACTTAGTCTAACAGTCTTGTATGACTTGACAGACAGGAAATTGAGTGGAAATGAAATGTTTTATTTGTTGTTTTGAAGAAATAATCACAGTAAACCACTCTTTAATAAAATCAAAACCACTTTTTTATCACCATCAGGTTATAGGTAAGGGAGCAACAGAAAAAGAGGACTATGAAGAAAAATATCTAATAGCAACCTCAGAGCAGCCCATCGCAGCATTCCATAGGGACGAGTGGATCCCCACGACTTCCCTGCCAATACGCTACGCTGGAATCTCCACGTGCTTCAGACAAGAGGCTGGCTCTCACGGCCGTGACACCAGGGGGATCTTCAGGGTACATCAGTTTGAAAAGGTGGGCCTCAAATGGATTTTGGGTGTTGGAAAATAAGAGAAGAAATCAAGCAAGATGTGATGTGTCTTTGATATCTTGTCCATATGTATGTGTCTTGTAAATAATACCTCTTTTTTCAATATGTCAGTTCTTTATTATTTTAATGCTGATTCTACTGTTTCTTTATAATTGAGAATAAGACCCAAATTTCTTAACATTTTTTGCTGTAAGATTAATTCCGTAGCCTATGTGGCTTTACAGAACAAAATTATTTATCCACATAAACTCCCTCTGTATCATTTCTCTCGATTGTGAGTTTTTAAAAATAATAAACAGCCAATGCAGTCTTATGGTTATACATATACCTACATCCAGAAGATTATGATACCTTGTGAAAGCCTGATGTTTTTCCAGATTGAACAGTTTTGTATCACCTCCCCCCATGATGGGTTATCATGGCAGATGTTTGATGAGATGATAGGCAATGCAGAGGCCTATGCTCAAGCTCTGGGCATTCCATACAGAGTGGTCAACATTGTCACAGGTGAGAAATGTGGTCAGATTGTGGTAGGTGAGAAATCTGTGGAGGGTTGTGCCAGACCAGAATGTGTTTTTTTTTGTTTTGTGAGTCCTTTAAAATGATTAGAATCATTCATAACATTTGTGTCCATAGTGATTGATTTGACTAGCTGTGTTAATGCTGTCTGTGTGTCTGCCTGTCTGTCTCTTTTACTATCCACCTCATCTACCATGTTTGTGTAGATTATCAAAGTCACACAATTAATTTTTATATCAGACATATGTTTATAAAAAGATGGTAAAATCACATTGTTTGATTTATTAATTTATTTTGCCTATTACTGGATTGAATGTTAATGCTATCATGATGGATATTTGTGTCTCAGGAGAGCTGAACAATGCTGCCTCCAAGAAGCTGGACCTGGAGGCCTGGTTTCCTGGCTCTGCTAAGTTCAGAGAGCTGGTATCCTGTTCTAACTGCACAGACTATCAGGCGCGGCGGCTGCGTGTGCGCTACGGAGAGACCAAGAAAATGGGAACAGGGGTAAGGCTTGTTTTGACTTTTTTTCACCATTTTTCCTCCAAATTTTCTGTTACAGTATTTAGATGAGTACTTTCCTCTCAATTTTGAATATATTAAAGAGATGGGATGCTTACTTGTTTTGGTGCTTTTTCCTCTTACTTTTGTGGACTGTGAAAGAGAGTTAGTGAATTTTCTTGGTTTTGTATGAAATGATAAAAACAGATTGAAAATTCAATGGAAGTGTTGCCTCCTTTTATTACTTTCTCTCATCTAGTTCATAGAAGAAGAAGGCAAAGTTGCATCAAAAGGCTTTTCTCCTTTTAATATTCACTCTCCCTGTCTCCGGTCTCCAATTTTGTTATCTTATTAAGAATGTAATTTTATTAACAAACCATACAGAATATATCATAAACCTATGAAAATTTGTGAATATTCATTTGATTTTTCTTCTAAATGAAGGGCACCAAAAATTAAATGTGGTATTGCATAGTGTGTCATTATTCTATAGTGAGCTTAAATGGTGATCGCCATAACTAAGAGCATTGTGTTATTTCGTCGTTCCAGACAGAGTACGTGCACATGTTGAACGCCACCATGTGTGCCACGACCAGAGTGATCTGCGCCATCTTGGAGAACTACCAGACGGAGGACGGGATCATTGTTCCTGAGGTTCTGAAGCCATACATGCCAGAAGGTGATTGTTCACTTTAGTCACAGGGTTATACACTAAGATTAAAACTTACTCTCTGATCCTTTCAAAAGATTCCTATAATTTTAATGTATTTTGAGATGTTTGTGTCTGCATGTGTGTGCATGCACGCGTGTGTTTGTGCCTCCTTAATCAATCATGCAAATGAAATATAAAAAACTAGTAGCTTAGAGTTGAAGCATGGCTCTCAAGTAATCTGATTCATGTACACAGTTACCCGTCTCGAACCCCTTTTGTGTGCTGTTGATATTATCCACCCGTAATGTATTCTGGACAAACTAATGGCCCTAGATACCGGTATCTTACATAATTTATGATGTTGAGATCAGCATTCTGTTTAAGGTTGGGCTAAGGCGCCGGTAGATCCAGGTAAATTGGTCCAGATACATTAAAATAATGTATTCCTAATGAAAACACCTCAAAACGGGGTTAATTTTGCCCTTGTGTGTGTTTTGTTTACCATTTAGCAAAGGAAATACGAGAAAAGATTTGCTTGTATTCTAATCCAAACCTCATTATTCCAGCGTACAAGGAGAAGCTCCCGTTTGTGAAGCCAGCCCCTATCGAGGAACAAGAAACCAAGAAACAGAAGAAGCAGAAAGACAGTCAGAAAAAGGTGACAGAAAAAGTGGCAAAAGACGTCAAAGACATGAAGCTGGATAATTAATGGAGACAGCTACTGCTTGCCGCAACTTGCGAATGAAAACAAAGCCAAAAAATTAGGTCGACATTTTTTTACTGTCCTTTGTTTCATGGAAAGAATCCGACGTGATTTCACGAGATCTCCCTGATCCTCCAACTGAACTTCTTTATCTCAAGTGGTTTTATGTCATGTGTTATGCCCAAAATAAACATTCTCTTTTTTTTTTTGTGAGAGACATTATTAATTGTTATTTAACAGATTTCTTTTTGTGGCATCATGTATTTAACAATTGGTTGGATGGCCAAGTGCAAATCTTATTTAAATTAAGAAGAAAAAGGCTAAGTGTTCTATTGTTTCTTGCTCTGCCATAAGCAAGTTGTGATTACTGTGTAACAACAGGAAACATTGTGAACTGTATCCAAGATGACGTAAAAACGATCATTTAAGCCTTGTTATAATTTATAACAATAAAATCATTCTACAATTTGTTATTAAAAGGTCGTCACTATAAAATCTCAGTTATGAAGAAAATATACACAATTTTTACCTGGCAAATTTGTAATGATTATTTTGAAGCCAAAGCAAATAAAATCGCCATCTTAGAAATAAGTGTTTGAAATTTGAAAATATAACAAAAAATAAATAAATAAATAGATAAATAAATAAAAGTGAAATATTTTACAAATAGTGTAACCTTTGTGATCTGAGGACATTGCCCTGAGTTTCAAAGGAAACAAAAAGCTTGCCCCGCTTTATTATGGGTGCACCTTTATTGCTTCCTGAATTCCTGAACGGCAGAGGCACGCAGGTGGAAGGGAAATGGGCTGTCAGTCATCTCAGATACTCGGGGTGTTTATACACAATTTACCACAATTGTGTAAAATGCCTTTTTTTTTTGCAGTTTCTGAAAAATAAATGTCAACGTTTGGGGTTGGGGTGGTTGTACTCAAGCCTAAGCTAATTTTTTCTCTGTTTTTTCTCTGTTTTTAATCTGTTCAGCACGGTATAACATTGCATACATTTTCGTTTCTGAGTGCAAATATTTACACAGAATTTAGTTAAAAGGAATGTAAAAGACCACAGTAGGCATCTCCGCAGAAAACAGTACTTTAATCATTTGACTTAGCCATTGAAAACTCCTTCAATTGGTACAAATATAGGAGAGATAAATTGGATACTTTTTTGTAATGCACCGTTTCTTTCAAAGTTAAATATTTTATTTGCAGTCTAAATTACGGACAACTCTTTAATGCTACCCGCAATATCATATATAGTACATGAATTCTTTTCATGCTTAAATTGGAAAGAAAAACTCACCCTAAGGCAATGCCTGTTTCGATAAAAGAAATATTGCGTTTCATATATTTCAAATAAAACCAGAAGATATTTTGTAAATGAACGTGTTTTGTGGAAATCCATCTGCCGAACGCGTCAATAAAAGGGGGACGTGCTGTCTAGATCTAAATCTGCTCTCGTCTTGGTCATTCACGGAGAAGGCCTCCAACCTAAGGTTTATAACTGCAGATTTAGTGTATTCTGTGCTTGAAAAAATTACCATTCATGGTATCTCATCAAGCTAGAACTAGAAAAGCGCTGAGAGAGCGCAAACTACGTCAAGGCAAATGCGTCCCCGTTACGCCAAGGAAATAATTATATAATAATTAACCATTACTTGATCAATTTATTAATTCAGCACCAAAATCTTGTTATATCTTCGTTGTGACATATCATGAAAAATTAATTAATTCTTTCCTTGTCCATGTCTGAGCCAATCCTGGCCCATTTATGACCTAAACTGAAAAATTTATTTTTAACTTATTAATTCAGGAATGGATCATTATCATCGAAGTTTTATCATTTCTTCCTTGTGCCATTAACCCATCCTGTAAATTTCATCAAAATCCATTCATTACTTTTTGCTTAAGGGTCTCCACATGCAAATGGTAACGAAAACGTAATCTTCTCTGTTGTTGGAGGTAATAAGTAGCGTGTTAAATAACCTGTAAAGGGCAAGGAACTTATTTTAAGTTTTAACAACCCTTAAAAAATTCAGTTGGAATTTTAATGAAGTACGCGCGCGATTGTGCTATCGATTTAACCTGGAAGGAGGTTGCGCTTTCCATGAAAAAGACATAATTTCTTATTTAATGTCTTGTTTACTGCAACGACAAATCCTTTGTATTAAGGAGTGAAGTAAAGCATACATGTTTAAAAGTTTCTTTTTGCGCACAACCCTGCACAATATTGAACACACGCACACACGCATGCTCATTTGCATAAATTTGCAAGCACACACACAAGCACAGCGAAACAAGCAACGCATGGTGTTCACAAAACTAAGGGTAAAACGTGTTTGGAACGAGGCCACCCCCCTCCAGGCGTCAAGGCAATTGATGTCTTCAAGGTTACAGTAGTTCAGAAGCACACGGCAGAGCAGATCTTTTCAGGGTGCTCCACACGAACGCGACCCGATTCTGCCCTTGTCCCTCAGTGACCATTGGTCCTAATTGAAGACCATTTCTGTCAAGACAGGTAAGAAATGTTTACAGATATTGTAATCCTTGTTTATTTAAGTGAGTCACCTTGATGTGAATATTTTTCACCTGACTCTGGTTAAACGTGATGGGCCAGGATGCGTGTCGATAAAAGAGAATAAGAAAAAAATATCTGGCGTAGCAACGTTGTAATATCCATAAGGTAAATGTCAAGGGCGTTATTTTAGCGTTTGTCTTTAATATGGTAATCAAGTGTCCCAGTATTTCTGTCGGGACTTATTACTTAAGTTGTAAACATGCTCCCCCCTTTCTACAACGCGTAGTATGCACGCACTTGCACGAGCACATACATGCTCGTGTATACTGCACATACACATGCGTCCAATTTAATCATTCTCAACAAACAATTTAGACCGATATAATTTAATTGCCGCAGATCCCTGGCCCAAGTTAAAGACAAAAAGGAGGAATAAAACCATACGCGTAAAACACAAGGCGTTGGCACATACTTCAGGAGGACGTAGTTATATCTGAGGTAAGTTTGAGGGCTTCTACCTAACATGTTGAGGGATGGGGGTATAAGCATGTTTATAACTCAGCAATATGCCGAGAATACTTGTGATTTTTGATTAAACCATGAAACGAGTGACCACCTGTCACTTAGTTCTAAAACATTCCACATTTACAATCACTAAAACCTCATTCATTATTTTAACATTAATTGTTTAAATGGATTAATTAGGCGCACGTGACGCTTACCTAGATACCGGTACACTCTACATCCATAACAATGAAGGAGAAAGTAACACAGTAAACACACCCATGCGACGCACATAATGGCGAGGGCTAAATATAAACCCGATATTGAGGTTGCACATTTACAAAAATATTAAAGGAACATATTTGGTGCCCATTGACCCCCACGGTGAATTTAAGAGCGATGTGGGAGCACCGCCTATCAAGGTCTGATTCTTTCGCGTATTATTTTTACTGGCCTTTTATATATGGTCGCATCGGATGTCACCTAGGCTTTGACAAGTTTTGTATGAGCGACATTCTGATCCCTGAGATCAAATAGGAAGACTCACCCCTGGATGGACGTTAACTTTAAAGTGACCGAAGCGTGAGTTTTACCTGGGAGCATAAGCCGTATGTATAATAAGTGTGTTAAGCTAATCACTTGCTTGATACTTCAAGCTCGTCGCTGTTTATATTCCCATTAATCTCTGCAGTGGGTAAGTAAAGTGTTTGTATTTCCCTATTTCAAATTTGCTTTCACCCGAGTTATTTTTAATCGGGAGAGCCACAGGTATACCCGCTGACTACGGTCAAAAACCGGGTTTAAGTACAAAGTTGGATTTTTTTAACAGGAGTATACGGCTTTGTACCGCTTTATACCACCTTGGTTCGTTTATTTGAGCAAGTCTTTTAGCAGGCACACCTGTGTTTCTATTATGGTAGTTGAAAAGCCCTATCGCGTACAAATTGGCACACAAGTGCAGTCATTGGAATGACAATATATCCGATATGGATGTCATGTTAAGATGCATGGCACTAATTGCAATGATGTAGTATAGTAGCAGCTCGCATGAACGCAGACACCAACTATCCGCTATGGATATCAAGATGTAGTACAGGTATAACAGCTCGTATGAATGACTTCAACTATCCACTATGGATATCAAGATTTAGTACAGGTATAACAGCTCGTATGAAGGACATCAACTATCTGCTACGGATATCATGATGTAGTACAGGTATAACAGCTCGTATGAAGGACATCAACTATCCGCTATGGATATCATGGTGTAGTACAACAGCTCGTATGAATGACACCAACTATCCGCTATGGATATCATGGTGTAGTACATGTACAGGTATAACAGCTCGTATGAATGACACCAACTATCCGCTATGGATATCATGGTGTAGTACAGGTATAACAGCTCGTATGAATGACATCAACTATTCGCTATGGATATCATGATGTAGTACAACAGCTCGAACATGGTATGATATCAGTTATGGATATCATGCTGCGACTATATCAACATTTACGAATATGTCACGTATCCGCTTTGGATATCATGACGTATAAACTCGAATGGGACTACGTATCCGCTATGGATATCTAGGCATCAGAATAAGATAAATTATTAGTATCATGTTTATTATATAGTCCTTTTCGCCTTGAGTAGCATGATATCAAGTGATATCGTTTAATATTACCATGAAGGTCATGAATACCAAGATATTAAGGTGAAATTATGATACTAATATAACCATGTAGAAACATTTTTATGGTGTGCAGTGGGCATAATAATACTCTTAGAATGTTATGTTTGTAGGTTAATAGTTTAACGCACGTATTACCTAACTTACTATTTAGATGTACAAAAATATATATGTAACCCTTGAGTAATAGGCTTACACGGCTCGTGGCTTCAAGAGTCAAGTCGAACTTAGACCCTTCTCCAGCTATATGTAAAGTTAATTAGGTATTATTACGAAAAACGTGTTAAACATACAGTTATACAGCTATTGGATATTTCATTCTATAATTTTTTCATTCATTGACTTGTTTTGCTTTGACATGCATAATGTTGCTTCTGATTAAGGCGGCGACTAGAGTTCATCTGAGTATACAGGTTTTTATTATAGGCCTACAATTATCGAATTTGGCGTTCGATCAATATAGTGTTTTCCAGCCCCGGTCGATACCACTCTCATGAGGTCAACTGAGGTCGATATCACTTTTTTTCAGGTCAGCTAAACACCGTATTGTCTGGAAGTCAAATCTGATATTTATTTTATTAAATTATTTAATATGGTGTGATTATTCCAAAGATATATGTTAAGCAAATGGAAAATTACTTTATATTTTATTGAAATCACAATTTAATGATGTGATAGCCCAACTATCAGTCCACGTTAAGTGTCCACGAAGAATGGTTGGCCGCAACGTCACGTAACAATGGGGACGAATATAACATCTTATTCTATGCCAGTTCCATAATAATATTTATTACCATTGTTGGTCAATAGGCCGTCATCTCAAAGTTGACTGTTTATACTTAGTTGGCTAATTAAGAGTGT